GGATGGGGTGGAGCTTGGGGTGATTTTGGGGTTCTTTGGGTTAATTTGGGGTGGTTAGGGTGATTTTGGGGTGATTCTGGGTGATTTTGGGGTGGAGGGTGGGCTTCACAGTCACTTGGGGTGATTCTGGGGCGATTTTGGGGGTATTTACGGGTGCAAGGGGGGTTTTTGGGGTGATTTAGGGCCGATTTTGGGGGATGGGGTGGATCTTGGGGTGATTTTGTGGGATTTTGGATCTTGGGGTGATTTTGGGGGATTTGGGGGACTTTGGGGTGATTTGGGGTGGGCTTCAGGGTCACTTGGGATGATTCTGGGGTGATTTTGGGGGTATTTAGGGTGGTGAGGGTGCATTTTGGGGTGATTTGGGGTTGTTTTGGGGTGACTGGGGGCAACTGAGGGGAGGTTGGGGGTATTTGGGGTATTTCGGATGATTTTGGGGTGATTTTAGAGTGATTTTAGGGGTATTAGGAATATTTAGGGGGATTTTGGGGGATGGGGTGGATCTTGGGCTGATTTTGGGGTATTTTGCGGTGATTCTGGGGTATTTAGGGGTGTGAGGGTGGGTTTTGTGTTTTGGGGTGACTGGGGGCAACTGAGGGGAGGTTGGGGGTATTTGGGGTATTTCGGATGATTTTGGGGTGATTTTAGAGTGATTTTAGGGGTATTAGGAATATTTAGGGGGATTTTGGGGGATGGGGTGGATCTTGGGCTGATTTTGGGGTATTTTGCGGTGATTCTGGGGTATTTAGGGGTGTGAGGGTGGGTTTTGGGGTGACCTGGGGGCATTTTGGGTGATTTGGGGGCATTTTGGACAGTTTTGGGGTGATTTCTGGGTATTTCGGGGTGATTTTGGGGTATTTTGGGGTGATTCCTGGCTGTTTTGGGGCTATTCAGGGGTGTTTTGGGTGATTTTGGGGTATTCGAGGTAGTTTGGGGTGATTTTGGGGTATTTTAGGGTAGTTTGGGGTGATTCTGGAGTACTTTAGATGAGTTTTGGGTGATTTTGGGGAGTTTTGGAGTGATTTTGGAGTATTTGGCGTAGTTTTGGGGTGATTTCTAGGTATTTCAGGGTGATTTTGGGGTACTTTAGATGAGTCTTGGGTGATTTTGGGGTGCTTTGGGGTGATTCCAGGGTTTTGGGGTGATTTCGGGGTGTTTAGGGGTGATTTCGGGGTCTCACCTGACAGCAGCACGGTGCCCTTGCCCTTGGGGGAGGCCATCGCCAACTGGTCCAGGGTCAGCACCGAGCCCCCGGCCCCCAAAATGCGGCTGCGAGCCCCGCGGGTCACGCGCAGGGCACAGACCTGGG